AGCTTTCGCTATTCAAATGTGTTCCATTGTGTCTCACTTTTGAAAGGGTTTCTCTTCTCGAGCCTCTGCCTGCACCGTAAAAGTTCGCTCGCTTTTGAAGGCGCTTCTTTCTGATTGGCTGTTGCTCCGACAGAAGCTTGGTGCAAGTTGATGATTTTTTTTATTTATTTTTATGCAGCGTCGGTGCAAAAAACGAAATTTTCAGATTCCTGGAAGGACATTTCAATGACCGAAACAAATGGTCGCACAGAAAATGTAAAATTGTTCATTTACTGTGTGCAGTGATGCACTTAAGTTTTAAGTGAATGTAAGAATGTTCGGATCAGCTTGTCCACGTGATAACACGTCAAAAAACGTCTTCCTCAGGTGGCGCTATTCCTGACTTGAAAACAAAAACAAGACGGCGTTGTGCATGCGAGCGTGCGCTCGGCGCGTGCGAGAGTTCGGAAGCCTTCCAGCGTCACCGCGCCACTCCGAGCCAGACGGGACAACATCTGGCCGGACTGTGCAACCATAATGCTCGACTTTTATGCTCACAACAACAAGTAACTTGTTTTCCGAAGCTTTAAGCGTGCGCCGCCACTGAGCGCGGAGGGCGGAGCTCAAACACCCCCACTCCACCACCACCACCGTGGCCCGGCCGCGCGAGCGTTCCTTGGCGAATTAAAACGGGGCGAACTTATCCTCACGAAAAGTGCAAACGAGAACACCAACGACTCCGCGAAACAAATTATATCTTAATGAACGTTACGGCCAGGCTACGGCGGCCGGCCCTGCGCTATAAATATGCCAGCAATCTTTATCTCGCTCCACCTCCACCTGCCTCGCTCTGCCTCTCTCTCTGTCTCGCTTCCCTTCCTCGCTCTGCCTCTCTCTCTCTCTCTCTCTCTCTTCTCTCTCTCTCTCTCTCTCTCTCTCTCTCTCTCTCTCTCTCTCTGCCGCGCCGTGTCCCCGCTAATGCCGGCCTTGTTTACCACGCGGGCTGCTTTATTCCAGAGTCGGGCTCGGACTCGGCGGCAAGGCGCAGCACCGCGCAGCACCGCGGCCCTCTTAACGCCACTCTGCACTGGCTGCTTAATACTCACTCCAGGAGAGCCAGTGTGGTAATTGCCTCCCCCTTTTGCCCACCCCCTTCCCCTAACCCCCCTCTAGCCCCCAGAACCCCCCAACCTCCCTCCAACTACCCCCCCCCAAGCCCCCCTCAACACCCCCCTTGCCAACACCCCCTCTCACCCCCCCCCCCCCGACGCCGCCCTTACTTAACACCGCCCCTTACCCCCATCCCCCAGTCCGCCCCCTTGACGGCGACCCCCTTCCCTACTTTCCTCATCCCCCCCTCCCCGTCTCTGGAGATGTACCGCGGCAGCGTACCCTTTTCCTGTTGAGGGACAGTTCATATTTCCCGCCGCCGCGGCGGCAGCGGCGGCAGCGGCTCGGTTTCCAAGTGGCGGAGGCGGCGGAGGACGCCGCCATAATTTTCTTGATGCGCGAGTCTTTTGTCTTGGCCGGGCTTCATCAGCAACAACGCCATGCAACGCTCGGCGCGAGGCTAGGCACCTGTCACTCCGGCCGTCTCTCTCTCTCTCTCTCTCTCTCTCTCTCTCTCTCTCTCTCTCTCTCTCTCTCTCTCTCTCTCTCTCCCTCTCTCCCTCTCCCTCTGACACAGTCAGACGGCGTGCGGCGCGCCACTGTAGAGTAGGCCACCACCGCGACGAGGAACTGCTTGTCAGAAAAAGAGGAAAAGAAGCAACTTCTTCGTAATTACCTCGGAAATCTCGGAAATTTGCTGATTTTGCTGACTTTGGGTGGCCACTGTGTCCAATCTAGTCGCCGTAAAAGGCCTCCCTCGACGTCCTAGTATTCTTAAGACACTACTCTTTCATGCCCTGTATCGGGAAGACGTTGACCACAGCGATTTTGGCTTTGACCGCAACGATTTTCCGACCAAGTTGGTCAAAAAGTGGTCGAATCTCGGAAATTTGCTGATTCTGCTGACTTTGGGCGGCCACTGTGTCCAATCTAGTCGCCGTAAAAGGCCTCCCTCGACGTCCTAGTATTCTTAAGACACTACTCTTTCGTGCCCTGTATCGGGAAGACGTTGACCACAGCGATTTTGGCTTTGACCGCAACGATTTTCCGACCAAGTTGGTCAAAAAGTGGTCGAATCTCGGAAATTTGCTGATTCTGCTGACTTTGGGCGGCCACTGTGTCCAATCTAGTCGCCGTAAAAGGCCTCCCTCGACGTCCTAGTATTCTTAAGACACTACTCTTTCGTGCCCTGTATCGGGAAGACGTTGACCACAGCGATTTTGGCTTTGACCGCAACGATTTTCCGACCAAGTTGGTCAAAAAGTGGTCGAATCTCGGAAATTTGCTGATTTTGCTGACTTTGGGCGGCCACTGTGTCCAATGTAGTTGCCGTTAAAGGCTTCCCTCGACGCCCTAGTATTCTTAAGACCCTTCTCTTTCATGCCCTGGATCGGAAAGGCTATTGACCGCAACTAGTTTTGGAGCGGTAGCCTCACAAAGTTGGTCATGAAGGGTAAAAACATAATGATGATGGGGCCTTTTGGGGGCCAGTGCGAGCCTGTTTCTGGCCCACTGTGGGCGGCTCGCTTGCACTGTGCCAGAGCGAGGCCTGGTTGGGACGCTCTGGCAGGCCAGCGCGCAGTGTCAAGATTTATTTTCCAACCCAGGTGAAAGGTCCTGAAAGGTGGCGCCTCGCCGCGCGGGGTCATGGATTTTGCATAACCTTTCTTTTCCATTTCGGTTTTAATCTTGCTTTGTACGCGGGACTAACAAGACAATACGGGCGGCGGGGCGGCTTCAGCCAGCTCAGCCCTTTCATGTTGGGCACAGTCTTCTTGGCGCTGCCGCGTAGCCGCGCAGCCAGCAGTCGCTCTGTCTCCCTCGCGCCCGTAGGGGACGCCCCATGAGTGCGAGAGAGACAGAGCGACGACTCTCAGTGTGCTGGCTGCCTGGTGCGCAATTCCGCCACATCGTCCCTGCCTTTTCTCGCAGCATGCATGCACGCCCGCTATTGGTTCCTTCTGCTCAAAGGGTTATAACGATATCCACGATCGTCGCGCATCGCTCCAGACCGGGGGGGAGGGGCTGCTGCACGCGTTTAAGCCGTGGTGAGAGGAATCCAATAATCCTTTTCCAGGGAAATCTCCAAAAAAAAACTTAACCAAAATTTCAGAAAAAAAAATTTACAAAGAAATCACAAACTGTTATTTTGGGGGAAAAACCTTTTTTAGGATAATTTGCAAAGAGTTCAACCGCGGCTTAAACAAAACCGTAGCAAAATCAATTTTCAATTTTTCTGAAAAGGCATCTTTGAAACTTTTAGTACTCTGTGGCAGTCCTGGCGTGCACTCCATCTACAGCTCTATCTATTCCTACTTGCGAGCTACACCGGTGTGTCCTTGTCCCGCGGCTTAGCGTGCCGCGCGTACACTGGCTGCGCCTGGCCTCCCCGGCCTGGGTGGCTCCATCGCACCGCGCTATATCGGATCAAGTTTTCGGTGCGGAATCCCCTTAGCCCGTCAGAGCAGCGCGACACCCGCGCCGCGCGCGTGTGTGTGTGTGTGTGTGTGTGTGTGTGTGTGTGTGTGTGTGTGTGTGTGTGCCTCGCCTCTAATAGCACTGCCAGTTATTCCCAAGTTTTCGCCGAAGGGGGAAACATGTCGCGCGTGCGAAGAAGGGAAAACTTTTGCCGGGAAATGTACTCCAAAGTGAGGTACCCGCGCTCAAAGGGCGCAAATGACATCGGATTTTTGCAGTGCATGGCGTCAAATTTTGTGTTGAGTTGGTTAGACCTCAGCGACTTTTGCTGACTTTTGGCCGTCCGCTATGCAAGCAGGCAGGTCAAATCACCAGGGGCGACTTTCTTTTTCTTCCAGTGTGTGTCGCGGGGGCCGGGGGCTCGAGTGTGTGGTTCTTAGAGGATGATGGCCCAGTTGGGCGGGCTGAGGTCAACCGCCCGGCCCGCAGGCCGCAGGGTGTGCTCGTGGTGGCCGCGGAGCCGCGGACTGGGAGCGTCTTTATAGGCGATAAAAACGCGTCTCTGGCGTGTCTGTCTGCCTGTGTCTGTCTGTCTGTCTGCCCGCCCTGGCGCTGCGGTCCGCGACCGAAATTGGCCGTTGCACTTCGGGCGGACGTAAAAAAAGTTGGCGGGTCGGTCGTGCGCGAAGCGCGGAGCGCGATGGGTGATAATTGGGAAGTGCCCTGCCGGTATTCGAACCCAGGACCGCGGGGGATCCGCTCGGATCAGCGGCAATATTATTGGGGTGACCCTCTCGCGGGCATTTGCAAGCCCGACGGAACTCTCGCGGGCACTCGCGGGGCCCGGCGAAACTCCCGCGGGCATTTGCAAGCCCGGCGAAACTCTCGCGGGCCCTTACGGGGCCCGGCGAAACTCTCGCGGGCGCTCGCAGGGCCCGGCGAAACTCTCGCGGGAACTCGCGGGGCCCGGCGAAACTCTCGCGGGCACTCGCGGGCGAGCTGTAGTTGCCCTCTTGTTTTTTGCGCATTTTCTGACTTTGCCGTTTCTTCTTCTGCCCGCAGGAGCCTCCCCCACGCCGTCGCACGGCCAGCGCCACCACCAGCACGCCGACGGGCACGCCGACGGCGCCACCACGCCCAAGGGGCCGCCGCTGGGTCCGCCGCTGGGACCGCCCCTGGCCGGCGGCTACTTCGCGGACTTCGGCGGCACGTCCTCCGACTTGCGACCGGGCGACTTCGGCGGCGTGGCGGCGGCGGTGCTGCAGGCCGCCACCAGCGCGCCGGCGTCGCCGTCGGCCGTCACCGAGTACGTCATCAACGAGCACCAGCACGCCCTGCTGGGCTGCGACGTCCCGAACGAGCTGCTCAACCTGGTGCAGATCTTCTGGTACCACGACGGCGCCCCCGCCGAGACGGTGGTCATGAGCCAGCTGGCGGCCAGCGCGCTCAGCGGCGGCGGTGGCGGCGCCGCGGCGGCCGCGTCGTCGTCGTCGTCCTCGGACGGCGACGCGGGCCACCGCTACATCCGCGACCCCAGCACGGGCTCGCTGACCATCGCGGGCGCCAGGATGGAGGACGACGGCGTGTGGGGCTGCCAGGCCAAGGAGGCCACGTCGCGGCGCGTGCTGCACACCGGGCCCTCCGTCAGACTCATCATCCTGGGTAAGCATCGCAAAGCAAGGCGTCAACAAACATGCAAAACTCTCTCGAACGTGGGCTTGACCGGCGTGTGCCTTTCTCGGTTTCACAGTGCCCCCGCGGCCGCCCTACCTGCTGCTGGACGGCCGGCGCCTCGACCCCACCAACCTGTTCGTGCCGATGCGCGAGCACGGCGCGCTGGACGTGGAGTGCGTGGTGGAGGCGGGCAACCCGGCGCCCTCCGTCACGTGGCAGATGCTGCTGGCCGAGCGGCCCTACCAGTACCAGGACGAGAACGTCGACGACCTGGTCAGCTCCAACACCGTCGACAAGCCCACCGGCCTCGGCGGCCACCTCAGCAGCTCGGCGCGCGTCGAGCACATCCTGCGCGAGCACCACAACGCCACCGTCAGCTGCCTCGTGAGCCACCCCACGCTCAGCAGCCCCTACAACGCGTCCATCCTGCTGGACGTCCAGTGTGAGTACACGCAGTGCACGTGGCCGCGGGTCGCGTTGGCGGGTTCACTACACGGGTAAACAGCACGGCCGGGGGGCTGGGGGCGGCCTTACAATGGATTGCGTCGCGCGCCAGGCGTCGTCGTGGTGGCCTCGGGCCGCCCCGCCCCGCCCCGCCTCTTGCTGCTGAGTCACTACTTCTAGGGAAAGAAGAAGAGAGTGTGCGGTTACAGCGCCGAGCGGGAAGTCACTGATCCTCGGGGCCGTGGTGGCCGCGCCCCGCCCCGCCCCGCCCGGCTCACGAGACATGCAGTATCTCGCTCAAGTTTGCCGTGCCAGTAGTAGCTCACGGAAGTTTGGCCTGTAATCCGTTCTTTTCCATGCAGCGGCCCGGCGGCCCCGGAGACATAACTCAAGCCGGGGCGTACTTAGCTTCAACGCGATCTCCAGTGGCGGCGGCGGTGGCCTCGACGGCGGTGGAGGAAGACGCGCTTTGCCGGCTTCGCGAACACGAGGCCCTGGTTGCCAGGATCATTCCCACTGAGACTTAAAGCCGGAAGCAGCAGCGCCCCTAGAGAGGATCACGGCCTTGAACACGACGAACAAATGCAAAGCGAATCACGTCCGCCAGAGGGCGCACAGTGGGCCAGAAGACCGGTGGGGGCGGTCAAAACTCCGGACGCGTTTGGAGCTCCAGAGTCGCTAAATGGGACCCGAACCAAACGCGTGACCCCACCAATGGATTGCTCTCCGAACGAGGAATCCATTGGTGGGGTCACAGGTACCGTTCGAGTCCTGCTTGGTGATTCCGAAGCTCGAGACGCGTTAGGAATTTCGGCCGCCGCCGCCGATCTTCCGGCCCACTGTGCGCACGTACTCGGTATGAAAAATCGCGATTGCGGTTCCCGGAATCGATAGCATCTTGACGCGGGATTGGATGGGCGGGCCGTGCGGCGGGCCTCACCAGACAGCCCTGGGAGGACAGGACACACGCTCGCGGCCCAAGTCCCAAGTTTTCCGTAGCCGAGGCACAATTAAGGCCCGCCACCGGAATGCCCCAAGTTGGGCACTAAAAGGGCTAAAGGGTCGGCACGTAGTCCATGGTATCGGCAGCGGGGCGGCGGCGGGGCGGCGGGCCGGACCAACTTGGAAATGAATGTGTGTGTTTTGGCGTGTGCGTGTCGGACAGAGAGAGAGAGAGAGGGAGAGAGAGAGAGAGAGAGAGAGAGAGAGAGAGAGAGAGAGAGGGAGAGAGAGAGAGACGTTGGGCAAAACGAGCCAGTTCGTTAGTAAATGTGCGCCGCCCTGACTCTACCTGGATTTGCTGTGCTGCTCTCTCCGGTGGCGGCGCGGTGGCGGTGGCGATTTCTACCCCCCCCCCCCCCCCCTCCTCCCCCTACCCCCTTTCCACTTTCCACCCCCGCGGGCGAGTTTACAAAACTCAATCCGACCGGTCAGCGCTTTGATGTCGGCGCGGTGCAGTTCTGCCCGCCTGCCTGTAGACTGATTCCGAGAGTCGTTTTCGTCGCTCTGTCTGTCTCGCGCCTACATGGGCCGCTCCCTGAGTGCGAGAGAGACAGAGCGACTCTCGGAATCTGTCTGCTGCCCTTGGAGGTCGCCGTCGCGGCCAGCCCTGCCGCCAGGCACTGCCAGATGCTTGCCTATTATGACAACGACCTGTCTGCCTCGCCACAGCAAACGGGCAAATAGTCGCGAACGCGAAGCAAACGTCTACAAGCATCTACAAATGTTTACAATAACGTCTACAAACGGTGTGGCCGGGCTCCCGGCCGCTGTGGCGCGGAAGTTAGATTTGATTCTCATGGACGAGGAATATGGGGCAGGTCTAGCCTGGGGGTTGTGGGTGGTCTCGGCCTCACTCGGGGCTCGAAGCGTCAAAGAGAGTACGCTTTTACTTCTTGGTTTATTGTTTTCAGAAAAGTATTTCTTTTAAAATAATGAAAAAAGCCGAAACAAAGCGAGAATTTTAAAAAGTGAGGGGGGACCGGGGGTTTGTAAAAATGTCGGCCAGTACGGTGGAACGAGTCCGAATGGCGAGAAGAAGAAGAAGAATTAGGGGAGGGATGAGTAGGGGGAAGGAGGAGGAAGGGGAGGAAGAGGACGAGGAAGAGAAAGGTGGTGAAAGCAGGGCGGGAAATAATGGCATGGCACAGTGCGCCTCGCAGTCTCGCACACGGCTTTTGGGACGCCAGAAAGGAGCTTCATTAACGTATCCCCCTTTCTGTAAACTGGGACGCACCGACGCGGCTGGCTCCGGGCGTGGCGATGGCGTGGCGATGGCGTGGCGGTGGCGCGGCGTGGCGCGGCGTTGGCGGGGAGTTCCCCCAGGAGGCCATCATGCCCGCCGTCTCGTCCAGTCGGGCCCCGCGTTGTCACGGCCTGATAGCTCTCGCGGCGCTCGCGAGCACACATTATTTTTGCGCGCGCTCCGCCCCCGCGCCGCCCCCGCGCCGCCCCCGCGCCGCCCCGCTCCCCGATGAAGTGATTTTCGTCCTCTTCCTCTCCGTCCCCACTTTGGGGCCCCGTGCCGGCCCCGCCGGCCCTGCCCTTTTCGGCAACCCTTGTGTAATGGCGATAATTAAATAGGAAGAGGTGCGAGGGGGAGGGGCGGGGAAGGCCCCCGGGAGGCTGCCGAGGTGTGGTGATGGCTGCGAGGCGGGGCGGGGCGGGGCGGGGCGGGGCGGGGCGGGGCGGGGCGGGGCGGGGCGGGGGGGCGGGGCGGGGCGGGGCGGAGCGGGGCGGAGCGAGGTCGTAATGCGCAGTGTGTCCTACCATTCACGAGGTCATCCCTCCCGTCCCTATCCGAACCAGTGTGCGCGCCCGCCCGTGTGTGTGTCCGTGTATGTGTGTGTGAGAGTGTGTGTGTGTGTGTGTGTTCGTGTGTGCGTGTGTGTCCCAGTCCGTGGGCGTCTGTGTGCGTAGGTGTGTGTGTGACAATTTTCACAATCCACTTTAGAGGGGTCCACTAGGGCGCACGGGGTGAAAAAGGAGAGAGAGAGAGAGAGAGAGAGAGAGAGAGAGAGAGAGAGATGACGAACGAAAAAAAGGCGCGTGCGATTATCCCGGAGCAGAAAGGCGGAATGAATCTAGGATGGCCGCCATTTTGCGTTTTTATACGCAGCACCTCGCGTCAATTCATTATTATCAAGCGTCCAACGGCCTCGTCAAGCGTGGGCCTCTTGGTGCACACCACATGTTATGTACAAGACATCACAGTTTTTTTTTTATGCACACGAACTTTCTGTACAATTTTTGTACGAAAAAATGCACACATTTTTCTCCATTTTTGTGCCAAATCAGTCATAAATTTGTACGAAAAGTTCGTGCGCATGGAAAACTGTAACCGTTCGTCCAAACTTTGTACAAAAATATTTAGTAAGGTTACTCTTTTTTTGGCGAGGTTGGCTGTGAGGAAATCGCGGACGCCCACACTGGCGTGCGTGGTGGAACTCCGCGTGTGGGCGAGGACTTTGCTCTGGCGGGCGTGAAGGGGGGGGGGGGGGGGGGGGAGGATTAGGGCGGCACGGGGGAAAGGGTTTTGCGTGGACGCACCGGGTTCGGCCGTTCGGCCCGGCCGGGTTTGGCGCAGTGTGGTGGCGAACGGGCGGACGGACGCCCCGTGCGAGGCTAGGGCGCCGTGGGGCACCAGGGCACTGCTTGGCAGTCCCAGGAGCCCCGCTGCCACGGCCGCTGCCACGGCTGCTGCCACGGGATGACGGGCTGATGCAACTGGGGCGCGGACCTCGGTGGCCGGGCAGGCCGCTTCCGAACAGCGTCTCTCTCTCGCACCCCAGCGGGGCCCCCGTGAGTGCGAGAGAGACAGCGAGCGCGCTGTCTGCAAGCAGCCCCCCGAAGGCGCGCAAAGTTTCGTCCGTGCCCCGGCGAGCCCTTGCAGCGGCGCGTATCTCCGTCTCGCTCGCTCTGCTTATGATTGGCCTGGCTCCAAAGGATCGTCGCTCTGTCTCTCTCGCACCGTCGCGGGACGCCCCATGAGCGCGAGAGAGACAGAGCGACGATCCTTCGGAGCCAGGCGGCGGCGGCTCCACTCTGGTGGACTCCGGTGCAGCCCTTGCAGAGCAGTGCGGAGCATGGCAGAGCGGCAGAGCCACAGGTCGGCCAAGTTGTTAGTTGCGCACGCGTACGCGTGTTGCCTGGTGTTGCCCCCACAGCGGCCGGCCGGCGGAACGAGTCCAAACCGTCGCTCTGTCTCTCTCGCACTCGCGGGGCGTCCCCTAGGGGTGCGAGAGAGAGAGGGAGGCGCTGAGCAACGAAAGCACTGCCCGGAGTCAGCCTGCCGGAATGCCGCGGGGAAGCGGGGATCAGGATTTCACGCCCAGGGCACAGCCAGCGGCACACAGTGGGCCAGAAGACCGGTGGAGGCGGACAACCGTAGCGCCGCCGGGTTCGCGACGAGGCGCCGAATTACGCCGCCGAGGGGATGGTTTTGAAAGCCTCCAACCCCCAGCACAGTACACGGGAAAATAATTACCCGATGGCGAAAAAGAATATATTTTACGCCCTTCTTTGAAAAGAACAACGGGAAAGGAAAATAACGAGGGCTTTTTCAGCAACGTGCTGATGCGACCAGCGTTGGGTCGCGAAATAAGCCTTGACCTTAAGCAGTGCTCACGTAGTTTGGGCGCAAATTGGAAGACTCTGGAAGACCCTGAAGGTGCGGGTGCGCGAGGCCGTGCCCTCTGGCCGGGCCGCTGGGCGTTGATGGCCAAGTCAGACGCCGCTAAGTGACGCTTAATTTCTCACTCCGCTCCGCTCGGCTCCGCTCGGCCTCGCTATCGGCCTCGCTCTCCTGCGGACTGATTCCGAGAGTCTCGCTCCGTCTCTCTCGCAGCGATACGGGACGCCGCGTGAGTGCGAGAGAGGCAGAGCTCTCGGAATCAGTCCCCCGCTGCCGCCGCGTCCCCCTTCACTCAGCCGGCTGATTCCTAACGGCACTCCCGCCCTCGTGGGGCGTGCCGCGTGCCGAGAGAGAGAGAGAGAGAG